ATATTGGCATTTGATCCCCTCTTTTATTGATCTCATTCAGTTATTCATCAATAACCCTTGCCACTTATTGTTTATTGATCTGTTCCTCGTTTCCAGTTCCCAGGCTCTTGTCCTTATTTAGTTTGACAATCCCCGCTTATCTCCGCACCGGACTGTGCCGGACTGACCGGCCTTTCTATATTCCCTCTTGCCTATTTATATACCTTGTAAATACTTTTGGGGACCTCAGTCTGAAATCAACTAGAGTACCCCCCCTGTCTGTTCTGAGTCCCTCCTTCTGCAAAGGGGGCTTCCCCCCTCTGAGTCCGTGCTTGTGGAGTCCGCGCTCCCCCTACAGGCCTGCTCCACCCACAAGTCTTGTTTGAAGTCCACTGTGAGTGTCAGTTTGTAAATACGGGATCTCCCCCAAACATCAAGCTCAGGGCACAGCACTCCACCTGAGTCGCTGAGGCTGCAATCCCACTCTGCTAACCTTGAACAGCACTTCCGGACGTGCCGCATATTTCCACCCACATATCCGCGTGCACGCTCCAACAGACCTCTGCCACAATCTCCGACCCCAACTCAGACAGAACCCAATCCGCCTTCTGACTCCGACAATAATCCCAGTCTCTGACAGCAATCCAGTCTCTGACAAGGACCACATACCCAATAAATTCAAGACAGTTTTTCTGCAAACAGGTGTAACATAGCCACAGAAGGATATTGAAACTGGAGGCGGGAGCATGAAGGACTCTTGGGGGTCAGTGTGAGGGTTCAGCACCCTTCCCTAGGGTGGGGCGGACTCTGCACCCACTTGGTTCCTCCGATTTCCTTCAATGTTGCCTGTACATACACATGGATGGGATAGTGTGGGAACTTTCTTGAAAGTATCACTGGCACTGGTTGGGTTGGGTTGCAAAAGTAGTAATTGCATGTTTTAGAAATTGAGTGTTTTAGAAGTTATAATGATGAGAAAGACAGAGCAACTTAAGGAATACAAGTGCTTTTGTCTGAGGACTCATCAGCCTTTTGCCCTTAAGGTATTTATACTGTAGGGAGAGGTCTGTGCACAGAAACAGTGAGATGTTTCGTTAGAAACATCCCAACATCCTTAGCATTTCCAATGCTTAATAAGCATGCACCAAGGCTAATCTGAAAATAGAAGTAATATATAGTTTATATAATGTACAGAAATGTTTATATTATAACCCGATATAGTAGCAACTGTTTGGTTGAGTTGGGTGGTTGTATTGGGTGGTTGGGTGTTTGGGTTGTCAAAGATAGAAATTGTCCTGGGCTGAAGTTGCAGGCAGAAAGAGGAGACCCTTGCTCCTACTGGAACACGGGGGACTTTTGTCTGGGGGGACTCATCAGCCCTTTTTGCCTAGTATTTACACTTGCACAGTACAGGTCTGTGCACCTGGAAAGCATCCCACATCTGAAATCCTATTAATCTTTGTTGATCTTGGGTGGACATCAGATTTTACCATAGTTATAGTTATCCTAAAATTATGATAAAATATGGAACAGAAAGCTACAATGCTGTAGATTTTAATGGAAGTATTTATTTCCATAAAAGGCAAGTAGTTTTTCCATTATTTATGAAATAATGGACCCAATCTTATTAAAACTCAAGATTAATCCTTAGGACAGCCTATCTTTTTGTTTCAGTGTAAAATGGATAGATACCATCCAATTTACAGACTGGTCTGTTGAGTTGGGTATGGTTGATTGGGTGGGTTATAGGATGCTTTTTGGACTGGGATGCTCATTGGATGCTCAACCTTGGGGGTCAGACTTTGGAGGTCTTACACAGCAAAGTGCTGACAGTGTCAGCCCAGGTCTGACTGCAACCAACCACCCACTATGGGGGTCCTCTGGGCAAAGTGCTGACACTGTCGGCATTTTCTGGACCAGGTCTAACTGCACTACCACCCACTATGGAGGTCCTCTGGGCAAAGTGCTGACAGTGTTGGCACTTTCTGGACCAGGTCTGACTGCACTGCCACCCAATATGGAGGTCCTCTTGGACAAGTGCCAATGCTATCATCACTCTCAGGACTGGCACATGTTAGTTTCCATATCAGGCCACTTTCACAGTATTTTCACCATATCTCCCCCACTTCTTCTCCGATCCAGATGGATCTAGTATCGTTGGAAAGCTATTGTCAAGGCGAGTCCAACGAGTCCAAGCTTGGGAGATTTAGTACAGCCCTTGTGGAGATGGTCATATTCTATCCATTGTGTTGCTACTCCCATATATCTTTCATATTTACTTTGTTCTTATGTTGTTCTTGTAATAACTGTGCAACATGATACTTGTATTAGTAAAGTATCAGCTGCCAGAGCAAGTCCCATCCTAATATACATAAACATGGGCTCTATGCCACTGAGGTGAAACCAAGAGTATCAAAGTGCAAAAACAATGGTGAGTAACAACACAAAGGGAAAGAGAAAGGTTGGGTGGTGATCATGCCTCAAAGCTCTCCCACCTCCCAAAGCAAGTGTGTGCAGCCTGGGTACCTTGCCTTGGCAACCTTTGTGCCAGGCAACCTTTGGCCCTGACCACAAGTGGTGTTGGGCTGCAGTTTCCAACAGTTCTGTCCATTTCTGTCTGTCCCCAACACCATCAGACCCCTTGGACATTAGCTTGGATCAGCTTTGGTTATATGTATCTATACAGTGAGTCAACACTGCAGTTTCACTCCCCCTTTGTTGCCTGTGTGTGTGAGGATGGGCTGATGAGCCTCCATTCCCACTGTGGAGGTCCTCTTGAACAAGTGCCATTGGGTTGTAGTGTTATAATCGCAGTGTTATAACTTATAATTGCAGCATTGCAGCCTGACCTCTGAGTGCAATATCACAACGTCAATAGATACCGCACTCAGCTCTACACATCATACTTATATACATCTCTGTGTGGCGCAAATGAACAAAGGCTAAAGCATTAGGACAACGAAACTTCCCATAAAAATCATAACAACAAGGGCATCGGAATGCCACTTCAACACTTCCCCTCATTCTGATGACCATACATTCCTCCAGTTCTGTTGGCAGGACATATCAAAGTTGCATGCAGCAGTGGTGGCCATGGGTGCATAGATCAGGAAGTGGTAGCAGGCGTGTTCAGTGGGGGAATGGTGACATCAGCATGTACAGTGATGAGCAGGGATGGGCAGGAAAATGGGTAGTGGCAGACAAGACATCATGTCTCGATTGGAAGAACAAGTGGTGTCAAAACACAGACAGACAGCCAGCAAAATGCAGCTAGCATCGGCAGCCTACAGGGTAATTTTCAGAGATTACACTCAAGTCACCCAACTGGCAAGGCAGGGTGATGTCAACACAGGCAGTGCGTGAGCAAGCAGCTAGCAAACACAACTAGCAAGGTGGTGTTGACATCGGCAGTGAAAATCGCAAGCCCAACGGCAGGGCACAGGGCAGTTACAGAGCTTTATCCTCAAGTGCCCAACATTTGATCACAAGCCCACACAGAACAGTCCAATCATTGGTGAGGTTACAGGACACTCCAATCGTCGTAAGCAGGGTGGCATAATACATCAGCGCATCATCTGCAGCACATTTCGATTTTCCCTTCAGCAACATCGGGTTTCTACCAACTCTTCCCTCAACACGACATCCTGGCCTTTCCTACTTCAGTAACATCGGGTTGCTACATCAACCCTTCCCCTCAACCCAACATCCATACATCTCACTTTCTCCACTGTGGTGTCAACAGGCACAGGTGACGCAGGTACAGCGACTTGACAACGAGGGGGGAATGGCAAGAGGGATGGTGGAACAATGGATGACTGCACTCAGTGAACATGGAGGTCAATGGCAACACCAGGAACAGCTGCGCTTTGAGCACTTGATCAGCTCACAATCTGCCTCCCTTGCTCAAAGTGCCCACATGCTTGGCAGCAGCTGGGCGAGGGGGATGGCGATGGCAACGACGGTATAAGCAGTTGGGGGGCATCAAGTGCAGCAACAGTAATGGTGTGTCAGATGGTGGCAAAGGGGGTGAAAATGGGGGGCAATGCGATAGGCACCCAGAGTCATTGTTTACTTCGTTAATAACTCCTGCAATAATGCATCACTCTCCTCCAAACTCGTCATGCAGATAAGCCCGATCCTCCTTTATCGAAAGAGCCCAAGATCAAGTCTCGGCGATTCGTAGGTGGCGCTGGCGTCGAGTTTTAAGTTGAATCTTTCAAAATGTGTCCTTTTGCGTCGATCTCCTTCAGTCTTTCATCAATCCCGACGTTCAAGAGGTCGGTCGGATCCTACAAAAAACCTCTGCAACTTCTCTTATTTCGCCAAATCGTGATTCCTACTCATTGGCATTGAATGCACATTGGGAAGGTTGGAGATGGGTAAGTGCCAAGCACAGGCACTTTCAGGGCATTCAGGAGGGGAGGGTGACAGGGCAGTTGTGCCCAAGCAGTGGACAGGTGGGTCAGATGACAAGCAGCTGCAGCAGGTGCACTGCTCTGTGAGGTCTGTGTCATGGGGCAGCATGGCAGCCTTCATTGTTGCAAAGCAGTGATGTTGAACAAAACACATGTCAACATCGGTACAATGGGGCACAGTCACCATAGCTGGCATGTGGGCAGTGGAGATAGCGAAAGAACAGCACAAGCACAGCAGAAAACATTCAAAGAGCGGTAGTGTCAAACAAGCGGCGGAGTTGACTGGGGGTTATAATTGTGGTGTTATAACTTATAATTGCAGCATTGCAGCCACATGTAGAAACCCAGATTTGACAGGATTCCATCAAATTTTGTATTGTGGGTCAAGGGAGTAATGAAAACAGGGTGGGACCCACATGAGGCATTGCAGTGTAGGATCTCACAAATCCAATGCACCTTAGTTGGATTTGGTCACAAATTGAGGGAGAGCATCCACAATAAAGATTGTGTCTCATGCCGGCCAAAATGTGGATTGCCTGCATTCTGCCATGTCAGTGGCTTGACATCCATGTGAAGATAGTTAATTACGTGTAGTATCAAGCCAAATCAGTCTTCTGTGCCCTCATCTTGTAGGATGGGAGATTTCCACACCCCCCTCCTAATCAAATTCCCATCCCACATAGCCTTGTCATCCACCAAGGGATTTAGAATGAGCACAGGGAGCCTTGTTCCAGCCCTGTCAGCAGGGAAAGTGTCTGAACTCTGAGGGTTGGCTGTAGTGAACCACATTTGTGGAAGCTCTGAATATGGCACCCAAACAAGTTTGGAGTATACTGTCTCCCAAATTTTCTCTCTGATACGATTACCACCAGTACAGTCAAACTTTATGATGAATTCCCACCAAGAGACATGAAATGGATGCCTCTTCCATCCTTTGCCCCCATCTTTGAACTGAATATGCCCCCCCCTGTCTCCTGTCCTGATTGTATTTGCACTGCATTCTTGGTGGTTCCCATTGGAGGTCTGGAGGTGGGAAAGTGAGTTGGAATGCAACATGAAACTCAGAAGGGTTGCACCTTTGGAGGTGAGCTCCAATGAAACCACTTTTATGCAGATCTGGTTCCACAAAGTACTCCATACCAGGATGATTGATAGGGTTGTCTGGATCACAGACGATGTGATAGAACAGATCAGAAGATGGGGTCTGTGGTACTGGGATGGTCTGCAGGATGTTGGAATAGAAATAATGGATAATCTGGTGGAGAGACTTTGTGTAGATTATTGAGGTGGTCCCTTGAACAAGCTGAGGTACAGAATGGTGGTCTTCAACAGAGTAGGCAGTCCTCAGGTGCTTGATATGGTGCTTCTTGAGTTTGACATGAAGATTGGCTGGAAGCTCATGTTCTGGTTCGAGTACAGGGGGGGCTTCTGTATGGTGAGGTCTGGGGAGACGGAAAGGGGCTCTTACTACAGTGTAGAGGGTGGCTGAGAGCAGTGTTTTGATCTCCTCAACAGAATAGCCCAGGAGGTGGTTAAAATGGTCCTCATCCAGTGGCCACCATCGTACCAGTCCAAGTGTGGTATGTGCCCTGAATGAAGGGGCGATTCGCCCATGGTTGGAGGGGCCACCATAACTGATGTCCCTGAACCAGAGAACATTTCCAGGTGCAAATGGGTGACATTGTTCACCCTCAGCCTGGTCTCTGTGAGGGTTTCTGTCACATCCATCCAGGACATCTGGGTGTAAGAAGTTATTGGTCACTGGGAGGGAAGCACACATGAGTGCATTCTCTGAGGAGCCTGTGGCAGGCCTGCTGTTGAGCATGTTGATGCACCATAGGAGTGCTGCAGTGAGCTCCAGTGCATAAGGCTGCACCCTGGACTTGGGAGTGGCATTCCGCTGAGCTTCTATGAGCTGATGACATGCACAGGCAGTCAGGAGTTTGAACAACCTAGGTTGAATGGTTAACCACAATGCAGATATAATTTAACCTTTCTTGACTTACCACCACTGTCGAGCAGGTACAGAGATGGTGCATTCCTCGATACACTCCCTGGTTATGCCCCTCAATGTATTCCTTGCTTTCCCCAGTGGCACATGAATCTCCATTCTGGCTGTTCCCTCTGTGCACTCCTTGTTGGCTAAACTCCACACTTGATCCAGGTTAGCTGGAGTTTCTTTTGGTTCTTTTCCAGGAGGACGTTTTTCTTGCTAATCTCCAGCATGGGATGGAATTTGTCTGCCCTTCTGGCCACTGCCTTCTCAGAAGCATACCACTGTGCATAAACAGGCAACCGTGCATGATGGGGTAATGCACAATGGCCACCAGCCAAAGATAGGATGCCTGCTTGAACATCACAAAAGTACCCTTCTTGTCCTGGTGTGGTCCAACCTCTTTCAACCTCTCCCTGATACCCATGGGCAAGGACCTGAAGGACATCATGATGCTTGGATGCATCCCAGTGGAGGATGAATTCCCTCCTGTGGATTTCCAGCCCCACATCCACCCATGTGCTTCTCTGCTCCTCTGCCGATAATTGATGGTTGAAGAGCCCAAGGATTTGTGTCCATGCTGTCTCTTCTTCAGGAGAATGGGCATGGGCATCCTCCAAGGGAATTGGATGTGTGGTGCTAAGTTTTATGCCCTTGATCTCTAAGCCAAAGAAAAAGCTGCATGCCCATTTAAGCCTTTCTGCCTTTATCTGGAGGCAGTGCCTCATCTGGAGGACCAAGTCATGAAGGAGAGATGAGGTAAAGAGTCGTTTTCCACCAACCACTTTCCCATCCTTAGTGTGGGAAAGGATACCATCTAGTAGGCAGTAGGGGGATATGAAGGGGCAGAATGGGGGATTATGTGAATGATGGCAGTGTCAGGGCACACCCGCCTGACTCTGCGCCGCACCCCGCACTGTACTGCCCTACTCCGCTTTCCCCGCTATCATCCCCTGTCCCTCCTTCCTCACTTTCCCCTTCTCTCTCTATTCCTATTCTATGGTCGATTTCCCTTTTCTCCATGTACCACTATGTACCTAACCCCACTCCCCTGATCGCTGCACGCGCCGCGCACACTCCTGCATACTGAGCGGCCACCTCCGGGATCTCCTGTGGAGACACCTGGGGAGGTGCGGCTGTGTGCGGAAATGATGTGGCTTCTCCCACGTGACCCTAACCGCATGTATATAATAGCGCCTGGGGTGGGAACAGAAGAAGCAGCCTTCTTCTCAACTTCCCACTTCAGCCTAAGTGGTCGGGGACACTCACCCCGCGACGGGACCGCCGCTATGCATAGCCGACACCTGTCCCATTGAGTCCCTCGCGCTGGGACCTCGCCGCTTTCAGAGCTGTCCCTGACAGCAGAAGAAGGCTTTAACCTCATTTCCCCTGCCTCCCCCATCTCCCCCGCTATGGTGACCGAAGAGCAGTATGACGAGCTGCTGTCCCGATTCCAGGAGCTCCAGGCCATCATAGAGAGCCAACTCCAGAGCCAACCCCCAGCTGCACCCGCACTGGCGCCAGCGCCCGCACCGGCGCCCACACCCGCCCCCAGACCCAAACCGCCCAAAGTTGCCCCTCCTACCCCCTTCTCTGGAGCAACCGAAGACCTTGACCGCTTCAAGGCTGAATGTGGCATCTACTTCCATGTTCGGGTGGCGGAGTTTCCCGACGCCCTCTCCCAGATCCTCTTTGTCCTGTCTCACACGAAGGGAGGGACTGCGGGAGCATGGGCGACGCAGCATACCATCGCGCTGCTGACAATGGGCTCCCCCAGGCTTACCATGGACGAGTTCAACACGGAGCTCAACGCCATGTTTCAAGACCCGAACCGCGAAGCCACGGCCAGGCAGAAGCTGGCCACCTTGCAACAAGGCACCGACTCTGTGGACAAGGTCATCCAAGAGTTCGAGATCCTCGGCCCTGCCTCGCGGCTAGGAGACGTAGGGCTAGTGGACCGCTTCGAACAGGCGATCAACTCCCGGCTCCGAGAGAGCATCTACCGCCTCCGCCCCATGCTGACTACCTGGGCCGAGTGGAAACGTGAGGCCACCCTCCTTGACAACCAGTGGCGGCGCTTCCAGGCAACGCAGCCCCACTTGCCCCCAGTCAGACCCCAACTCCCACCCATGAGATCCTTGCTCCCTACTACCTTCCCGCAAGTGCACCCAGCTCCCCCACCCCTACGCCCCCCAGCCACCGCTGCACCACCGCCTCCCGCAGCGCGCCCTGTGGCGGGAGGGGGACCGCAGCCCATGGACCTCGACCGCTCGAGGATAGACCAAAGACGGAATGGGCTGTGCTATAACTGCAACGCACTGGGGCACGTTGCGCAAGACTGCCCGCAACCGAAAATCCGCTGAGCCAGGCGAATGCACCCAGAGGACCTTAGGGCACTCATGGAAGGGCTGAGAAGGCAGTTGGTAGACAAACCAGAAGTGGATGGAGGAGATGGGCAAGAGACAGAGCCCCAAGAGGATTTTCAGGAAGGTGACCGGTGAGGGACGCGCCCCGGCCGCCTGTAGGCAATAGTAGTAGCTCGTGTAGATACCGTGAGGCACCTAAGCCAGTGCCAACGTCCAAATTCCACCGAGTCATTGCCAAGAAAAGGAGGAAAATCGCGTCCTTGAGTAGTAAGGGCAAAGAAGCCCCAAGTACAGCGCCGAAGGTAGTGGTCCCGCCACCTGCCATCTACGTGCTGTCCAAGCAACCCCCCAGATCCCTCAACATGGCTGTAAAGCTGACCACCCTAACCTCCCTGACCACCGTCTCCGTGTCAGCACTCCTAGACTCGGGAGCCACTGGGAACTTTGTAAGCCCCGAGTTCATTAGGAAGCATAAGCTCGAGATGACCCCGCTCCCCCAACCCATCCCCATTCGCAACGTCGACGGAACCCCAAACGAGAACGGAGCCATAACTGAGGAACTAGAGGCCCTCTTGACATTTGGGCAGCACACGGAGCGGGCCCGCTTCGCCGTCGCGAACCTTGGGCAGCAGTCCCTCATCATAGGACACTCATGGTTGCTGCACCACAACCCAGAGGTAGACTGGATGCGGCAAAAGGTCAGTATGTCCCGGTGCCCGTCCTCCTGCCAGTCGGCGCAAGGGCAGGCTGACCCAGACCCTGTGGTGGAACCTGGGGACGGGATTTACGCCACTATCATCCCTCCGGGGTGGGGACACAAGCTAAGAGCGACCACGACACCATCCCAGCGGATGGCCCAGGAGGCCCGCGAGCCAGGAGCGGAGCCGGCACTGTTCGAAGCGCTAGTCCTAGAACAGTACCAGGACTTCAAAGACGTATTCTCTAAAGAGGCCTTTGACCAGCTACCTCCATGGAAGCCCTGGGACCATGCAATAGACCTAGTGCCGGATGCCAAGCTCCCAAAAGGGAGGACCTTCCCCCTGTCATGGCCAGAGCAGAAGGAACTAGACGAGTTCCTGCAAGAGAACCTGCAGAACGGGCACATACGGGCGTCCAAATCCCCGATGGGAGCGCCGGTCTTCTTTGTCAAGAAGAAGGATGGATCATTGCGCCTAGCCCAAGATTACCGAAAGCTCAACGAGATCATGGTCAAAAACTCATATCCCCTCCCACTCATTTCGGACGTCCTTGCACGCCTCCGAAACGCCAAATACTTCTTGGCGCTAGATCTGTGCTGGGGATTTAACAATGTCCGCATCAAGGATGGTGATGAGTGGAAAGTGGCGTTTTTGACCAACAGGGGATTGTTTGAGCCTACCATCATGTTCTTCGGCCTGTGTAACTCCCCAGCGACATTCCAGACAATGATGAACGACATCCTCCGAGACTTCATCGATCGAGAGGTCGTCATCTGCTACATGGATGACATCTTGATCTTCACAGCCACCCTAGAGGAGCACCGGAGGGTCGTCCGAGAGGTCCTAGAGACGCTGCAGAAGCGGAGACTCTTCCTAAAGCCGGAGAAGTGTAAGTTCAAGCAGAAGCAGATCGAGTATCTTGGCCTTATCATCTCCAAGGGAAACGTTGCGATGGATCCCATGAAAGTCCGTGGAGTTCTTGACTGGCCAACCCTGACCAAGGTCAAAGAAGTACAATCCTTCCTGGGATTCGTCAACTTCTATCGCCAGTTTATCAAGGACTTCTCCGAGACAGCCCGCCCCCTCCATGTGCTGACCCGCAAAACCAAAGCGTGGGCCTGGGGATCAGACGAGGACCGTGCTTTCCGTGCCCTTAAAGACGCTGTCACCTCCGCCCTGGTCCTCGCCTTCCCTGCTGATACAGGCCGCTTCAAGCTTGAGTGCGACGCCTCTAACTTTGCAACTGGCGCAGTCCTATCCCAGCTCCAAACAGATGGGGAGTTCCACCCCGTAGCTTTCATGTCCAAGAGTTTCACGGATGTAGAGCGCAACTACGAGGTGTATGACAAGGAGATGCTCGCAATAGTGTGCGCCCTCAAGGAATGGTGGCACTTCCTACAGGGAGCAGAGGAGAAAGTGGATGTCTACACCGACCACCGCAACCTAGGGTATTTCCGCACCGCGCAACGGCTGAATCGGCGCCAAGCGCGGTGGTCACTCTTCCTCTCCCAGTTCCACTTCACCCTCATCCACCGCCCCGGGAAACTCATGGGAAAACCCGACGCGCTCTCACGCCACGCTGACCACCCAAAGGGTAAAGATGACAACGAAGGGCTGACTCTCCTCCAACCTGCCTGGTTCGAGGCCCATGTGGTGGAGGCGGTCTTAGTGGAAGGCGAAGAGATGACCATCCTTGAGAGGATCAGCAGGGCAAAAGACCTAGATGAGAAAGTGGTGAAGGCGATGCAAGAACTTGGGGAAGGCACACTGAGGTCGGATGAGTGGGAGAGGCGAGGAGAGCTGGTTCTGTACAGAGGAAAGGTATACGTGCCGAAAGACCCACAACTCCACCATGACTTGGTGTGGTTCCACCACAACGTGCGGGCGATGGGGCACCCAGGGCGGTGGAAAACCCTGGAACTCGTCTCCCGCGACTACTGGTGGCCACGGATGGCGGAGTATGTCGGGCAGTACGTACATGGATGCGACACCTGCAACCGTGTCAAATCCTTCCCCTCCCGTAAAGTGGGGAAGCTCATCCCGAACAAGATCCCCGCTCGCCACTGGCAAGTGATCTCGGTGGACATGATTGGAGAACTCCCTGAGTCAAAGGGTTACAATGCCATGCTGGTCGTAGTGGATCGCCTATCCAAACGCATCCACGCAATCCCAACAGTGACGACGGTGGACTCAGTGGGAATCGCACGGCTTTTCCTCGAACATGTCTGGAAGCACCACGGCCTCCCGGAAGAAATCCTCAGTGACAGAGGGAGCGCCTTCGTCTCACGCTTCTCGAAGGAACTCGCGGACCTCCTCAGCGTCAAGCTCACCCCTTCGACCCCCTATCACCCCCAAACAGATGGGCAGACGGAACGAGTAAACCAAGAAGTGGAAGCCTACCTTCGGGTATTTGTCAACCACCGCCAAGATGATTGGGCGGACTGGCTCCCGCTAGCGGAGTTTGCCTATAACAACCGCGTCCACTCCTCCACTCACCGTACCCCTTTTGAGCTCGATACTGGCCAACACCCCAGCATGGGGACAGAGCCCACACGCACATCCAAGGTAGAAGCCGCTGATGCCTTCTCATCGAGGATGATGAAGATGCAGGAAGAGGCGAAGGCGGCGCTAGAGCATGCGGTGGACGAGATGGCCCGCTACTATGACCGGAACCGTGAGGCGGCCCCTACGTATCAAGAAGGCGACCGGGTCTGGCTCAGCACCCAGAATTACACAACTGATCGCCCAACCAAGAAGCTAGACCATAAATGGACTGGCCCCTTCACGATCGTTAAAGTCGTCTCCCCCGCCGCCATCAAACTCCGGCTCACCGCCTGACAAAGAGGGATCCACCCAGTTGTATCCATGACGAACATCAGACCGCACTGCCCTGATGAAATCGCAGAACGCCCCGCTGACCCCGCCCGGGCCCAGACCTCGTAGATGGAGAAGAGGAGTATGAGGTCGAGAATGGACTCTAAGTGGCTACGCCGAAAACTCTGGTACCTGGTAAAGTATACAGGCTGGCCACACGACCTAGTTGAGGAGTTCCATCGAACGCACCCCCACGCCCCGGGGAGAGAGAAGGAGAACCGCCCAGCCACTTCGAGGCGAAGCGGCTTAAGGGGGGGGTGATGTCAGGGCACACCCGCCTGACTCTGCGCCGCACCCCACGCTGTACTGCCCTACTCCACTTTCCCTGCTATCATCCCCCGTCCCTCCTTCCTCACTTTCCCCTTCTCTCTCTATTTCTATTCTCCATGTACCACTATGTACCTAACCCTGCTCCCCTGATCGCCGCATGCGCCGCGCACACTCCTGCATACTGAGCGGCCACCTCCGGGATCTCCTGCGGAGACACCCAGGGAGGTGCGGCTGTGTGCGGAGATGACGTGGCTTCTCCCACATGACCCTAACCACATGTATATAATAGCGCCTGGGGTGGGAACAGAAGAAGCAGCCTTCTTCTCAACTTCCCACTTCAGCCTAAGTGGTTGGGGACGCTCACCCCGCGACAGGACCGCCGCTATGCATAGCCGACACCTGTCCCATCGAGTCCCTCGCACCGGGACCTCGCCGCTTTCGGAGCTGTCCCTGACAGGCAGGATGCAAGACTTCATCATAAAACTTGGCAATATGCACCTCATCCACCCGGTTGTTGACCATGTTTGTCAGGTATGGAAAAAACATCCTGATAAGGCCATTGTTGGAATATCTTCCTAGGCAGTAGTTTGTGTCAGAGACCAGATTCGAGATGAAGGGATGTCTCCGTAGCGGAGGGCTTCGGCCTCAGTGACTTCTGCCAAGAGTGCTGTGCCTAGTGACACGTCTGTGCCCTAACTTACTGACTGGCAATTAGAACCTAGGGGGGTAACTCTAGTTGATTTTACTACTGGGGTGTAACCTATGTACAAGTGGGATATATATATGGTTACAGCGGAGACGGGTCCGCAATTGGCGGAGCCGAACAGAGCGGAGCTAACGGGGTTTAAACATTAGCCGACTGAATATTACCGACGAGTCGGTTCGCGGGGTTAGCGGAAAGGCAGGCGATAACCCAGAAACGGAAAGGAGGGATAGGCCCGAAGGTGGGCTCTGCAGGGCAGGCAAGTGTATTGCCCCACGGAGGCAGGGGTGCGCTAGCGGACATCGGAGCTGTCCAGAAGTCCTCGGGGCTCCATACTTAGGGAGGCGTAGGTAATAAATTGAAATGAGGGGGTGGTGACCATCGAGGGGTACCGAGGGGATTGCGGAATATGGGGGCTCCGAGGTTAGTGAGGGAGGAGTGGAGTTAGACCGGAGGGATCGGAGGGACCGGAAGTCGATGGCCGGGGATGGATATGACAGTTTGGTATTTTATTTGCCTCTGTTGCAGGGGGCCCCACAGTACAATCCTAGATAACAGTCAATCGCAAGAGACATGTATATGAAACTCAGGCTTACAATGGAAAAGAGGTGTTCAGGAATTTTCACATGGAGGCTGCTTGAACTTGGCAGGACATCCATTGGATGAGGAACCAGGCCAAATTCCACACTATCAAACAGTGGCAACCGAGCATAGAATCCAATGAGAGAGTCATAGTCTCTGTGAAGAGAGACATCATCTGTGCCTAGTCTGGTTCTCGTGTTTGAAGTATTGAGTCTCAAGTAACAGCCCCTTTCATCCTTGCCTTCTAAAAGAAGTTGCCCAAATCCTTCATGCAAGACCCCAGCAGTTTTGCTTCTCTCCAGTCGGAAAGCCGTTCTGACATAAGACATATGTTGAGAAGTCAATGTCTAAGAGATCTTCAGGGTCAAAGTCTGATGGGGTTGTTTCCCTGGAGTCCATTAGCACTGTCGTCAGGTGTCCTCCAGAATCCCATTGGCAGCTGCTGGGATACTGGCATCCCAGTATACTTGCAATCTCACTATCTGATGACAGTGTGAGCTAGCTAGAGTAAAATGTATTATAGCCCTTACTTGGTCATCCTAAAGGAGTGGCATCAGCATCAGCCTCAGGCAACCCATTCAACTTGGAGCACTCACAGATTCTGATGGAGGCCTTATCTCAACTATCTTTCCCTTGCCTCCATGTGTCATCAAAGTCCTCTCAAAATATGCATCCCCTCTTGGTAATTGAGCATCATCCATCCAGTACACACTGACAAAGTCTCAACTGCATCCTCTCACACATTGTGAAGGAACAGCTTACACATTGTGGAGGTGGTATTTGTACTCTTTTTCTCCTTTCCACCACACATGGCCTTAGAGTGTTGATGCAATTAGCATGAAAGCCAGAAGCCTTTTGATTTTTAACTCACCTGAAAATTCACACTCTGACATAACAGCTTGTTGGGACATTGATGCTTATTTCATGAGAGGGGCACCTGTGGTACAATGTTGACTTGTGGTTATGCAGGAGGAGCCAAGGCCAGTAAGGATCATATTGGCCCTTTAACAGCCTGGGTTGGGACAATCCCTGTTGAAGTGGCATTCTGATGCCCTTGTTCATCAGCAAACCTGAATGTGGAGGTCTGAGAACTCATAGAGCTCTCAGAGCTTCAGTCCTTTGAAATTGCTGGTCCCCTTCTCTCAGAGCTCCAAAAAGTAGTCAAAGCTCTGAGAGCTCATAGAGCTATATTTGCACACAGGGGACTATTATCTATATGAGCTCCCTGAGTGTTTAATTTACCCAATATTAAAATTTAAATTTAAGAGCATTGACTCTGGCATCATGTGATGAGTCACAGCCAAGTCCCTACCATACAGGAAACTGAACAAACTGAGCTTGACTTTCAGCCCCAATGCAGCACTAAACACCAAGGGTATATAGCCAAATTAATATATAGACCAAATTTAGGGATATAAATACAGTTAATCTGAAATTACTTACAGAAAATGTGGGAAAATGAGTGGGGGAAATTGAGGAGGGAACTGGGGGGGAATGAGGGAGGGAATGAGGGGAAATTTGAAGGGGGGAATGGGGGGAAATCTGGAGGGGGGAATGGGGGGAAATGAGGGGGAAAATGAGGGGGGGAATGAAGGGGAAAATGAGAGGAAAATGAGGGGGAACTGGGGGGTTTCTAAAAATTTGAAAAATGGTCAGGGAAAATTAAGGAAAATTAAGGAAAATTCAGAAAATGGAGGACTTTCTAAAAAAGGAGAATGTCTGAAAAATCAGGGGAAATTAGGGGAAAAATCAGAAATTTTGGGATAAGTCAGGGAGTGATATTTCAGGAAATTAGGAATAATTGGAAAAAAATTAAAATCACTTTTTTGATAATTCAATGTGCATTGGAAAGTGCCAAAGTGGGGCAATGTAGCAATGTATGTTTCAGTGTTAAAAAAGTCTCCCACCATGCTTTGGTGAGCCAAATAACTATGGCTCTTTGACCATGGGAAATTGGGTGTCAGAGGCTTGGATGTTGTCGGAAGGATACATCAGCTTTTTGTTTGCTTTATTGGTGGTATTTTTAATTTACAGTTCTCCAAAAAACCGTTTCGATGTTTCGCACTTTTCACTTGATGGGCTTATAGTATTATGGAAACATGTTCTAAAATTCCCATAAAGTCATGGAATATTACTTGCTATCTCATCTACAGATATACAAATTATCTAAGCAATATATATATTTTTGGTAAAGTTATTTGATTTAAAAGGTGCCCATGTCATCGAAACAGTTTTTTGGAATTGATTTTTGGGAGAAGAAAATAGCATTTATTAATATTTGGTATAGCCACCCTTTGCCTTAATCACTGCCTCAATTCTCCTAGGCATACTTTCAATCAAATTCTGACAAATCCTTGGCTCTATCTTGTCCCATTCCTCTTGAAACCGATCCCACAGCTCATGAACACTATTTGGAGGTTCTTCATACTCCCCAAGCTTCCTTTTCACATGATTCCATAAGTGTTCGATTGGATTGAGGTCTGGGGACTGGGAGGGCCACTCCATGACCCTAATACCATGATTGTTGAACCAGTTATGGGCCCTTTTGCTGGTATGGTTGGGATCATTGTCCTGTTGGAAGAGGACATGGGCAGGGTTCTTGCCATAATATGATAGGGTTTGTTGGAGTTCATCATCCAGGATTTGGCAGTAAAGCTCCCCATCCATCCTCCCATCAATCTTGCATGCCATCCCAACCCCATCCCACATCATACATCCCCACATCATGACTGATCCACCACCAAACTTTTTGGTCCCTTGCACCAGCCTGTCACTGAGAGGCTCACCCACCCTCTTCCACACCCATTTCCTCCCATCTGAGCCCAGGTGATTAACCTTGGTCTCATCTGACCACACCACTCTCTTCCAGTCCTCCAGAGTCCACTCCTTGTGGCTGATTGCAAAGTCCATTCTGTTTTTTCTATGCTTCCTGCTCAGCATAGGCTGCTTCTTCTTCACCACTGCTTTCCAACCAGCTTCCTCCAAGTGCAGGCAGACGGTCTCAGGTGAGAGGCTCTTGTTGGTAATTTTTCAGAGCATTTGACTTGGGAAGAGTTGTCAGCCTTGCCAGAGTTAATGAGGTGTTGGGCATGGTGAATGTCAGTCCCTGACAGCTTGCATGGATGCCCACCACTGGGCTTAGGGACATCAGGACAGTGTTGAGACCAGAGCTGAGTGATAGTGGAAGCTCCATGGCCAG